TTTTTATAAATTTAATATTATTAAAAGATTAAAATCATTCTTTTAAAATGAGTCTAATTCTAAATATATTTAACAAAAAATATATAATTTATTAAGAAATAAAAAATTACAAAATTTATTAAATCCAAATTTATCACCACCATTTATGCTTCACACTCTTTGCTGGGGTTTGCTGGGATTTTTTTAAAAAATAAATAAATAAATAAATTATAATAATTTGGAAACACTTGAATATTTTGTTGGGGAATTATTAAGTGTTATTTAGAGGAAAAAAAAAAAAACTTATGATTGGAATTTGAATGAATAATAAAAAAAAAAAACTCTATATTCACTTTTTTAATAAAAATAAAAATATACTTTCGGCTCCGTTTGGCAAGAGCTAAACAGGGCTTTTTTGACTATTTTAGTCACAAAAGACAAAATAGGTTATTTTAGCCACAAAAAACAAAATATCACATCCAACCCATAATCATTACATCCTTCTTTCACAAAAAAAGTCAAAAAAGCCAAAAAGCTCTTTTCAAACCAAACTTTTTAACCCAAGCTAAAATAACTAAAAAAATCAAAAAGCCAAAAAGTCAACCCACTTTCCAAACGGAGGCTTCATCATCCCAATTAGAGTAATGGGTTGGAAATCCACTAAGGACTTTTTGTCCAAAAAAGAGATCCTCGTTATTGTTAGTAAAAATTTGGTTAATGCCTAATCGATAGGATTAATCAACAGAGAAAAACATTCTCACAAAACAAAAATAGATTAGGCTTGTGGTTGAGTTTTATGATATAAACAGATTAAGAATTTCTTTGAAGGTAATTAAATAAAGAAAAATATGAAAGAAACATAACGAAATTTGTATTAATCAAGAAAAATGTCTATTGCTACAAGTTACATGAATTTAAATAAGAACAAAGAATTGACTACTCTAACTAGAAGCTACGCCTAATATCACGATGTGTGAGTTGCGTTGGATGTTCTTTTCTTTGTATCTCTCTTGACCTATTTATAGAGTCAGCCACATAAGAGATAGAAGTAATCTAAGTCACGATTTACTTATCAAGTTCATGATTTTCTCAGCATCATTCATATTCCAAGTTTGACCACCCACTTGATTCCTTCAAATTCTTCACAAAACTAACAACCATAATAATAATAATGATGATGATGATAGGACCTCGTTTGGAAACATGTTTTTTTAGTAATTTTTTGACTTTTTGGTTAAAATGTGATATAAAAAAAAATAATATGTTTGGGATGACTTTTTAGCTTTTTACGAAAGGATGTGCTTTAATAGAGAGAAAAGGGAATCTTTGACTTTTTGGTATGAGTTGTTGGCTTTTTGATTTTTTTAGTGATTTTTTGACTTTTTGACTAAAAAAGCCACTTGCCAAAGTTTGGAAACAGCATTTTTTAGTAACTTTTTGACTATTTTGCTAAAATATGATGTAAAAAAAGCTAATATGTTTGAGATAACTTTTTGATTTTTTACGAAAAGATGTGCAAAAAGTAAAGAGAAAATGAAATCTTTAACTTTTTTGTATAAATTGTTGACTTTTTGGCTAAAAAAGTCACTTGCCAAACGAGACCTAATAATAATAGTAAAAATGTGGCCAAGTTCATTATTTAAAGATGGTTTATGGTCTGAATTAACAAATTATAATTGACAAGTTACAATCAATTAAATTAGATTTGGCCATAATTGACAGAAAAATTAAATTACGGTGTCAACAGTTATCAATTGTTTTTGATTGATCAAAATGAAAAATTCATATTAAATGTGTTACAATTGAAACGGTATAAACCAAATCGAAATTTAAGCAAAAATTATACACTATTGATCAAATTTACCCTTGGTTTTTTGGCTTTTAATGAAAAATGACCAATGTGCCCTTTATACTAACGTATTATAATGCAGCATCTTTTGTTTTTCAAATGGCTTGTTGATTTTTGATGAGATTTTGAACTCAGATTTTTATTTTTTAGTTTTTTTCACCTGAAAATACTCAAAAATCAGACTTTAAGCTGGTTGCCAAAAGAGGGGTTGTAGTTAAATACCTCTTTAGATCAATCATCGAGTATGGTCTTTGATTTCATGGATAGGAAGTTAAATTCCTCCTTTGAACAATCTTAGCCTTGGCTACTAAGGCCAACAACTGCTAAAAACAAAAAACAAAAAAAGTTAAGTATACATATAATCAAGTACAACTTTAACTCACAAGGGCAAATTTACACATCCTCAAAAAAGTAAAGAAAAGTTCTATCAACGTCATGGAATATCACTTTCAACCAAAACTGATGGAGAGAACAAGTCAAACTTTTAAAACAACTTTTTTTTGGGATCACTTTTTGGTTTCCACAATACCAAAGTGTGAAGTTTGGAAATGAGATGAATCTGAGACCTTAGATGTACACAGTTTGAAGCATCAATTGATCAAGCATTGTGGAGCAACAACTTAGCTTTGAAGAAATAGCAACCACTAGAATTTTAAAAGGGTCGGGTGTTTTTCAAGTTTAAATCTAATCTTGAGGGAATTTAAGAAACTCATTTTCATGATCTAAATTATTTATTTTGTAAGATTTTTTACATATAAGTAGGTTGATCTGATAATCATATTCTTTTCAATTTATCATATTTGTCTCCAAAAAATAGACATTCTATTTTTAAAAATATACTTGTCATCTATTTTTTTTAGAGATATGCAATAAAATGAAAAATTAATATAATTTTTTTATGCAGAATATACAACGAAATAAACCGGTCATATTATTGAAACAGGATCTTTTGTAGCCCCATGAACTCCTCAAGTTTATATTTAGGCAGTGGCTTGCCTGCAGTCCACCATTTAGACTGAAGAGTCTAGTTCGGCCCATTGGGCCCACATTTAGACCCATTTTTAATAATCCAAACCGTTCACATTTTAAGATTTTTTTTAGTACATTATCCCTGTAAAAAATCACATCGATCAGATAACGGATACTATGTATTTGGATCACTTTTTTATGAATCGTTAATTTTTTGACTGTCTATTTTTTTCCTGACAAAAGTGGTTTGAATACATAGTATCTGTTATCCAATCGATGTGATTTTTTACAGAGATAATGTACTCAAGAAACTCTAAAATGTGAACGGTTTAGATTATCAAAAAGGGGTCCAAAATTAGGCCGAATAGGCCGAACTGGACCAGACTATCCCAGAACTGAACTCGAGACAGTCCAGGCCCTATATTTAAACTTGAGATAAGTCCAACCCTTTGAGATAAACCTTGTAATAACTTCCATCACCACCTTAATATGTTTATTTGGACAAACATACTCTTAAAATTAGATTAACAATTTAACAAAATAAGTAATTGTACATTTGGCTAAAACATGTTTGGACTAATTGATTAAATTATAAAATTGATACGATTTTATCAATCTCATAATCAAAAGCCAATCTAAATATGAAATAAAATGTACAATCCAATAGGTTTGATACAATATTTTAAAACCTGGACCGGTGAGCGAATCAAAAAAAGAACCAGATAGACAGATCACTAGTTTAACCATTGAGTCAAACCAGATCGAACAGTAACGTCATAATTACGTCACAAATAACTTTAAAAATATATAAAATTTTAAATTTATATTTATATATTTAATTTATTATAAATATCTATGCATTTGAAAACGAAAAAAAAAAAATCAGAAACTATATAAATATTAAACTAGCTTGGTGGTTGTGCCGTACTTACATACCAATAAAATAATGGCTTTGGTTTGACTCCAGCACAAGCATTTTAATGCTTCATTTTACATTTTGAAGCAAAGATGCTTCATGCATGGACCCGGCAGGTCTGCTCAAACTGGTACCGGGTTAGCCTATTCGACCGCGATTTAGAATGATTTTCGAACATAAGCCGGTACTTAAAAAAGACCGGATTAAGGGGTGATTTGAACCAGAACCTAGACAGGCCGACGATTAAACACAAAATAAATTAAACTAAAATATCATTGAGAGAAAAAAAAAAATCAATCGCATAAAGATCCCAAAATTTGATGTCAAAATTTTGGGGGTAGAGAGAGGGGGAAAAAAAAAAAACCAGTCACCTTCAATAGCAATTGTGTTCTCAAATATTATATACTATAAGCAGTTATTTAAGTCGTAGCTATTTCGAAAGTTCATATATCTGTAATTGAGCCAACGCATGATCTGGCTAGAAATGTAAACAATTTTATTACTTTTTCAGAGTTCTCAAAAAACAAAAACAAAAACAAAAAGAAATTCTCACAATGATTTGTCAAATGATTTTATGCATTAAGACCTGAGATCAAGCATGGGTAGGCTTCAGCTTCAACAAGAAAAGTACATGACATTTGTGTAACTTAAGGCATGAATCAATCTATCAAAACACATAAGAAATTAATAGTAGTCACACATAGAATGCTAATCTCAGACTTATATATGTAGTTAAAATAAAGGGAAAAAACTGTTGTTTAAATCAGGGTTTTGACTATACTGTTTTAAATTCATTCCCAGAGTCGTAACATCATAGGCTCATCTTGAAATTGAAAAACAAAAAGCAGCTCGGTAACCAAACATGGTCAGTGCAACCTCATTAACATTTCTAAGTTACTAAATACTTAGCCCTGGCTGTGACTGTCATGTTCTCCATGCACTAATGATAAATTATATACCAGAAAAGTATGCAGAAAACTGCATCAATGTACCACATTCCTTTTTAAGTGTGACCCACGTCACACTAACTTCAAATTTACAATGTACACCTCACTGTTAGGGTACGAATTCAGGGTACATACCATTTTTCAACAATAAAAATTCTTAATGGGATCAGCATCCCAATGCCACACTCCAGCAGCAACTGGATCTTGCAGTTTCAATATTTCCCATAAGCTATTTCCCATATAAGTTCAGAAATCACACCAACACGCTCTTTTTCTAGTCACATTAACTCCATTGGAGAATTATCCACATAGAATTTTCACTCAGAAAATCCATCCAGAATGATGAGGCAGTGATGTTTTTGAATTTATGAGCCACAATATTGTGTATTGTAGTTTGAAATGAAAGGATCACAGAACAACAGATCATTTTGTACGAGTCTTCTACACAAAAATCTTGTTTGTAAAGCATTAACCTACAATTATATTGAATACAGTAAATACCTTAATGGATCCAACCAAATATACCCACAATAACATCATATCCCATGTTCAACTGGAGTGGTTGTCGTATGCAGAAAGGAAAGAGAAAAGAGAAGAAAAGAGAATATATTTACTTTTTTTCCCTCTCTTTTTTTCTTCTCGCTTTCCTTGATCGAGTTCTGTTCTGACATTTACAATCATTTTTATCTCGTAACCAGTCTGCATGGTACCTCTCATCATATGAAACTACCTCACCTTCAACAAATGGTTCTCCTGAGAAATATAAAGCCGTTTTCGTGTAAGTAGTGAAATGAAAAACCTAATCAACAGTTCAAAGTCATGACAAAATCCAAATGCTTGTGAGAGTACAGTGCAGTCACACTCAGTCCATATGTCACAAACTCAACCTATTTATGTGTAATGTAGTGACAAGCACAAGAGACCTTGGCTTCTGATGCAGGCTCAAATTCCTATCATCATCATATCATAGCAATGCCAAAAATTTGGAAGAAAACAAGATGGATGATCAAGTTCACTGAATGCTTGATCTCAATAAACAAATTAGCTGGATAAAAGTTAGCAACTTGGCATATAAAGACAGAAGTGACAGTGTTACACATGTTCTTTCAGGTTTAGATGCATCCTTTGTTTTCTCCAGGAGATAGAAACAGCCTCTCCACATGCAGGGGTAAGGCTATGTACAACTAATCCTTCTCAAACTCTGCAGTAGTGGGAAGCTCGTGGCTGCCCTTTATAATGTTTTTGATTTTTATTTGAGGAATATACTGAGATAATACCAATGTCTGTGCCAAAGCCATGCAAAAAAGGATGGATTTGAAATAGTAATAGTAAAGAATGTGGAGATAGCTCCTTTGACCTTTAAAAAAGACAGCATCATAAACAAAAAACGAGAGAACACAGTTAGGAACCAAGAAGCATGGACACGGACATGAGTATGGACACAGCACACAGCAATTTTGAAAAAATTAGGATATGGACACGGCATGGATACGGCAAAAAAATGCTACCTAAGTCCCAAATTGTGTCCGGCACGGAAAAAGCAAGAACTTAAAAAACAAAGTATTTTGGTGCAAAAATTTTCATTTGTGAGAAAACATTTGAAATTTTTGGCACGAAAATGCATATTTTTAAGTTTTCGTTTTTCATGTCAGGCAAACAATTTGGGACAGAGGGAGTTTATTTTTATTTGCTATGCATATGAATATAAGTTTAGGGTACAAAACTATAAGAAGTATCAATGTATATGTGAGTGTGTTTTTATATTTTTTCATGTTCCTCCCTCTTGGTTTTCATGTACGTTACTTTGCTTCACATAGGTGCCTTGAGGTGTGCCTAAACACAGGATACATGTTCCTGATGTGTCAGTGTCCCGTACATGTCTAACACGGACACGGCACACATTCTGAAATGGGTGCTTCAGAGGCTAGGAATCAAGAAGTTCATTCCCATTAGAAAGTACAGTTTCCCCTACCTCTGTTCATGGAAAGAAAGAGGCTTGATAGAGAGCTAAAACATATAAGGGGTTTGAGACCTAGAATAACAAGTTTCAAGAGATTTTAGTAAGAGAGCGGGAGCTTCAATTGGGCTCATTTTTCATTTTGTCCAGTGAAATAATTGATGGCAATTGCCTTGTGAGGCGTAGGCCACAAAGATATGTGTCTGTACCACCCTTTTTTTTCTCTCTGTCAGTGAATTTATTATATACAAATGAACAAATGTACAAGAATTACAGAGCAAACAGAGACACTTTATAACATGTATGTAGGCATAACCGCACAAGCCCACACACTCCACAAGCAAATACTAAGTTACCAACCTGAGAATTTCAACAAAATACGTCTAGTTTTGAAGTAGCAAAGGAGGCATTTCTTAATATAATTATACTCTGTTCCTATGTTTTATTTATTTCATTTTATTCCTTTTTTGTTGATAAAGTTCATTTAGTGTTCGTGAAGTTCTTCGAAATATTGCCATTGCCGGAGAAGTGTAGGTAGTCAAATGGTTGCCACTGCTACCGTCGGAATATTTCTGCCAAAGGGTTTTCAAGGTTTTGAGAGTAGGTAGGTTTTGAATGTGAGATTTGGGGTAGATGGATGGGTGGTGATGGAGGTGGGTACTCTCATAAATCCTAATTCGTGATGTAGTGTGTGTAAGTTTAATTGTGAGATGGGGTGTCCCAAAATTAATGATGTCCTTTTTAGTAATTTTATTTGAGGTTATGATTGTAATAAAAAAAAAATAGAAATTGTGGGGTCCAAAATAATTTATGGGTTGCTAATAGCAGCACTTGTTATTAATGGACTTAATGATACACTTTAGTTTACAAATCGCAAATGAGGTTATGTATTTTTTTTCCTTCTCCCGAATAACAAGCATGCAAAATTGAAAGGGTTTTTTTGGTGAGAATCCTCTCCTATTGGCCTTTTTTTTGTGTAAAGGACATGGAATAAATTAATGCAGTCAAAATCCCTCAGAATTAAAAAATTAAGATGAAAAGACAAGAATGCCCTTGCATATATATGGGCAATAGTAAGCAGTTGAGTTGTTTGTCTCTCTTGTTTTTTTTCTTCGTTTGAAAACTGTTAAAGTTTAAAATCCCTTGATTTGAAAACCCTCCTTCAAAAGCTGTCAATTGAAGCAAAAATTGAAGCATAATAAGAGATTTTCAAGTGCCATTGTCGAATGTTTTGAAATTATTGAACGATTTCATCATCTTCTACTAGTCGTTACTTCCGAATCAACCATCACAAGTCAGAGAAACTCTATTTCTTCACAACCAAGGTTCTGAAAAGCGGTTGCGGTCGCTGTAACGGTAGCGGTGGCGCGGTTGCGGTTGCAGGGTGTAAAGGCCGTAGTGTAACGGTTGCGGTAACCGGAACCGTGAATTTTTTTATTTTTCGCACAATTTAAAAAAAACTTGCCGATACACATATTTTTTTTTCATAATCATATTTATTGGGTTTTAAAATAAATATTAATCAATTTTTGTAAGTTTTTAAATATGATCCAATATATTTTATATTTTTAAATCACTATAAACTGAATTTTTTACATTTTATTTTAATAATTAATGACTTTATATGTCATAAATCCATATTATACTTGTGGCAACAAAAAAAATTATTGGACTTAGATGTATAAAATTATTTTTTTAATTATTATACTTATGGAAGCATATGCAACTTTTAATTTGAATAGTTTTAAAAAATAAATTATACATGCTAATGTAATCATATAAAAATTAAAAAATAAATTATAAAGAATTTTTTTTTTTGTTTGGGTTTGGATCACTTGAATATTCATTCTCTTTTTGGATAACTAGTAAATAAAAATAAAATAAACTAATCAAAAGAAATTGACATGTATAAAAAATGTATTAATATATAATTATAGGTGTTATGTTTTCTAGATATTTTACAAAAAAAATCAATCACTAAACAATGACAAAAGTAAAAGAATAAATAATATCCTAAATATATATATATATATATATAAATAGATAATGACTACACTTATTATTATTATTATTATTATCAAACAATATATAGATAAATGCACACAAACAAAATGGTTGATTGATAGCAGCTGAATAGAATAACATAGGTCTTATAACTTTAACAAATTAATAACATGTTCATCATCTTCTCTCTTTTCTCTCTCTATCTCTTACTCCTCCATCTTCCCTCTTCTCTCTCTATCTCTTCCCCAATTTTCAGTTTTTTTTTCTTCTTCTTTTCGAAAGAAGCAGTTCGGAACCGTTACGTAACGGTGCGTAACAAGCCATTACGGCTGTTATGGTACCGTTACGACCGCTATAGTAGCCGCTACGGCCGACACACTTGTGAATCTCAATCACACTACAAAAGCGGTCGTAACGGGTGGTGATAACCACTAAAACCGTTACGTAACGGCGTTACGTAACGGTTACGGCCACTTTTTAAAACCTTGTTCACAACTCTCTCTTTCTCCACCAACTCTACCATCGATGGTTGTTTATCGCCTCCACCATCTCCATCATTGGCTGGCATCGCTCATCCTCACCGTTGGCTAGGGACTACTATTTTTACCGTCAACCATCACCATCTCAGATTTGATGTCATTGAACTCATGTTTGAGATCAATAACTTCAAATCTGAGATAAAATGACCTCATATATGTCAAAAAAGTTATAAATTGAGATATTACAATGAAAAATCGAGAGTTTTTTTGTTTATTTGTTCATAAATCTAAACTAAAATTCGACTATAATTCCTTTAGAGTTTTTTTGTTTATTTGTTCATAAATCTAAACTAAAATTCGACTATAATTCCTTTATCTAGTATGTACTCTGTTTTCATAACAGTAAAATTTTATTCTGGTTAATGAAAATAAAGTTTGATTGCTGATTTGCTTAACGATAGTAAAATTTTACTTTGAATCATAGTAAAATTTACTCTGATTTAGAATTAAATTTTACTCTGAATGACGCTACGATTTCGCCTTACTTTCATAATGACAATAAAATTTTACTGTCTACGTCAATTTCGACAGTATTTTGTTCTATTTTTTTAATAAATTTCATAGTAACCTAGATCTTGTTTGATAAATCTTGATGAGATGATACCAAAAATACTAATTTTATTAAAAAATGACATCTAGATTAAAAATTATATCATTTTAAACTTTAAAAATAAAAAGGGCACATATGTTGGTACAGGTTGGATATGTTTTACAGTAGAACTCATACTAAACCTGTATTGTTTCTGACAATAACATTTTATTGTCTTTCATAGTAAAATTTTACTCAAAACCTTCACTTCTATTGAACAAGCTCCATTACAAATTCTTTTACATGAAACTAATCAAGAACATTAAAAAAATATATTAAAGTGTCAAATTGAATTACAAAGCAACTCAGTGAATTGGATAGACAACCATTCAACAACACAGTAAAAGTGGACTATTATTGCAAAAGTACTACATTGTGCTTCATTGCCTAATAATGCATGCTTAAAAGTAACACTTAATTTAACTAACTGAGCTATCTCAAAAGAGAAAATTGGAACACATGCATCACATTAAGTAGTTCAAGAAAAAGTAATATTCTCATATGTGTGACGCCATGACATGAAGTCATGAATCGATCGTTCAAGATGAAAACAAAGCAGAAACAATACCTCCATAGTCATTTTCACTGTGACATAAATAAGAATCTGGTAGAACCCATCTCACATTGGGCAAAGCTGCAAACAAAAACAGGTGTATTGCTCAACGAAGATATGCTAAAAGCAAAATAACTATTTAAATGAAATGGGACTAATGGAAGATTACATTTGATTTTGTGAGTCAAATTTTCCGGGATTTTGCAACCAAATGCATAGTAATACTTAGTAGAAACTGAGTATATTGACTTCTTTGCTTCCTCTTCACTGCACAGATGGGGAAAAAAAAACAAAACTCCGCATATAAGGAAATCATAAATTTGTTACATTTGCCAAAATATGAATGACTTATGAGTCTTCATGACAGTTTTAGATTGAAATGCCCAATCTTGATTTACATGTTACAAAATTGAGGTTAGGTTGGTAATTTCCATGAGATAAAACATGGGATTCAAAGTAATGTAAGGGTAACTAGGCTAAGTTAGGTAGCTGAAGAGTTGCAGTTTGAAGATTGACACATTCTATACAATCTTTGATCCATTACTAGCACATTTATATTTGCATGAGCACTTGCATTAGTTTTAGGACACGTGTTTTCAAAATTGCACAAAATTGACCTAGTTTCACCCTAGTTCATTCCTGTATTTTTCTTAATCTTGAAAATCAGTTTTTGATACAAGAAAAATAACCAAAGTTGGTGGAGCCAGCCCAAGCTGACTGTCTGAGATTAACCGGAGATAGGGTTGTAAATCTTTTACTCTCAAGTCCTGTAAACTTGTAGATAGTAGGATTTATTTTGGCCAATTGTATTTTTTCCCTGATGAAAGTTAACTTTGATTTTTTCCCCGTTAAATCGCTTTGTCCATTATCATGATGTGATTTATGTGCAGGTACTACTGATATTAAATACTTATTTCAATCTAAATTAAGATGAATTAAGCAAGAAGCTGATTTGATTTATTACTGATCATCAAATTAATTTTTAACTAGCAAAAAATTTCACAAGGTTTGGCTATTCCGCCCTAGGCATAAACATGTTTCTCTCAATCTCACTATTGTTTTTTGGGATACTAGAAAACTTGAAAGCTGTACTAACTAATCCTTGTCAATTATACACCTGAGTTGAGCTGACATACCCTAAGAAGCAGAGACACTTCTCAGAAGGTGGCATATCTTCGGACACTTTGAGGACACACATGTCTATTGCTTAAACACACGTGTCCACCGATTAGACACATATGAAACAAATTATAAGTTTAAACTAAATAACTTATAATACAATAATAAAATAAAAAAACTTATGTGAATTTATAAAATAAGTGTTATGTAACATTTTTTTATTATCTTTAAATGATATATTCATATATATAATATATAATAAATATATAAAATTATATATTTCGTGCGTATTCCCCATGTGTAGTGTCTTACATTTTTTGAAAATTGACGTGTCAGTGTGTCCATGTAGTATCCATGCCGTGTCACGTGTTCATGTCCGTACTTCTTAAGACATATCTATTTGTGGAAACCAAAACATATAAAATATAAAACATTGGCCAAGTTTTGCAAGTTGCCTGGTTTGCTTTCTTTGAAACCCAAAAAAATAAATAAATAAATCAGAAAAAGTCTGGAAAATAGGTTAATTTTGCTTGTATCCCCAAATTGTTGCCATTATTTATTTATTTCATACCTAAACTTTGATCTATTTAATCTCAAAAGCTTTTGATTTTAGTTCATATGATTCAATTAGTAAAAAAGTAAATTTACAATTTGGACAACATGCATCAGCTAAAAACACTATTTTTTTTTTTGTTTTTTTTGTTTTTGGCTAAATAAATCAACAATCAAAAGTTTATTCCGGAAGAGCTACGAAAAACTAAAAAAGCCAAAGCATTTCTCAAACACTGTCATTTTTAAAATTCTATGAGAATAAAAATAAATACACTAAAAAAGCCAATGCCAAAAGTCCCCTAAATTATACAACCAAATACCTATTTTCATACTCATACTATATTAGACGGCTTCACACCACAACCAAACACCTATCTTCTTCTCCACCCTACATTTCAAAATTGTGAACAACATTTAGATTTTTTTGGTTTAAGTTGTTAAAATTTTGAAATAAATTTTTTCCTACTTTAATGATTATTGGTTTGGAAAACCGTCTCTAATTAGGCAGAAGTAGCTTTGTGACATTTTAGCTAAAATATAAGATAAAAAATTCAATATGTTTGGGAAGGAATTTTTTACTTTTTACGAGAAAATGTGTAAAACAAATATGGTGAATGGGAAGCAATCAACTTTTTTGTATGAGCTAATTTTTTTTTTTTTTTAATGACACCCACGGGATAGCAGCAGGACAGAATTCCATTAGCAATATTATTATAAAAAAATAAATAAATAACAGAAAATAAATAAATTTAATAGTAAACAATAGTAAATTGTGATAATTTTTAGCAAATAATAGTGAAATTAACCCCTGGAAAATCTGTGGATTGCCCATTTGTTTGGATGGAAAATATTTTCTCTATTTGGTGGTGGTGGTGGTGGTGGTGGAACGAAGGTAAAGATGGAGGTGGAGATGGTGGCATGGTGGTGGGGCGATGGAAGCGGTGATTGCGATGGTGATGGTGGAGTGGTGGTGGAGACGAGAGTGGTGGAGTGGTGGTGGAGACGAGAGTGGTGGTGTGGCGACATGTGATAAAAGAGTTTTTACCCAAATAGGTTCGTTTTTCATTTATCACGAAAAATTTTCCATTGCCTATCATTTCTATTGTTGTACCATTTCGCCCAAACAAACGGAGCGATAGAGATAAGCTTCAGAGAATCAATGGCTCTGTTTGGCAAGAGGCTTTTTAATTTTTCTGACTAAAATTTACATAAAAGATAAAATAGGCTAAAATAGTCAGTAAAATAACATGTCACATCAAATCCATAATCATTTTACTTTTTTCCTCACAAACTTCAGATCCAATTTAAAATAAAAATCCACTCATCTTTCCAAATATAAAAATTTTAATCTACTAAAATAACCAAAAACTAAAATAGTTAAACTTCTCAAACGAGGCCAATGACAGATCACAGCAATGAGTGAACTAGCTCGACAAAGACTCAGTTTAAGAACATTGTCTCCAACTTTTCACTACTTTTTTTTTCCATCTAATTTGATTCCAAATTTAAGTAAAAAAACTTGATATCAACTACTCCAATCCATCATTAAATTTTCATCAATTTTCTTTAAAAATTCTCAACTTATCCCAAATCTCATCAAATTTCATGTAAAAAAAAAAAAAATCCCATCTTCAATACTTTATCTTTTTAAAACTTCATCAAATTCAAATTTAAAAGGATTTGATAAGAAATAAAAAATGGAACTCCCTTGATTTAATTAGACATCTAATCTCACGAAAGAATTGGAGATAGATTTTGGAGCACTAAAATTAAAAATAAAAAAAGATCTAAAGAAGTATTTGAATTTTGAGGTGGTATAGAATATAATAGTAAGTGGTAATGGATGTATGTATGTACCTTCCCAAGGCGATGGCTAGGGTTTTGATATAGTCATTAAGGATTTGGGTTCGTAGTGGGTATCCTTTGGGAGGTTCCACAACCACCAGCCAGTGTTCGTAGTCGCAGCCTTCTACCAGCGTCGCCACCCTGCTCAGCGGCGGCGGCGGCGGCGGAGGAGGAGGATTGGTGGCGGAGGAGGAACAAATGGTAGAGTTGTGGAGATACTGGTACTGGTACTGAGAAATTGAGCCAAAAATGCTTCTCCGAATCATCATTATCATTTGTTTGATTTCATCTATGGAAATGGATTGCTCTCTGCTTCAAGACTTACGACTGCTCTCCTGCTTTGGATGCAACTACGGCTCCCAAAACCACGCCTGCCTAAAACCTGAGCTTCAATTTTTTGTGCTTTTTCTTGCAAAGCTTGTTAAAATCCAGATTTTTAACTCATATTGTTGGGAGGCACAATCAAATCGTAAAATGAAATTCAAAAAATCGTTAAAGTTTTAGGATAAACAACAATGGTTCATCCCACTAAAAACACCACCATTAATAACACTAATGCATTAAAAAATAAAAGAAATAAAAAAAAATATAACTCTAAGATCAAAATATCACATCATTAATGGCGAGACCCACTGCCACCTAATTAGTGGGAGCACTACAAGCATTTTTCTTAGGATAAATTACAAATGAAAAATATTGGGAGCAGACTCACTGCGATATTTTAATCTTTATTTTATTTATTTTATTTTTTATTTTCTGTCACATTATTATAACTTAATTAAAATTCTAAAATTAGATTTGTATTATTATTCATTACAAATACATTCTTAAGATTTACTTAAAATATGAATTATTCATTGTAATTTGTAAAATTATTAATATCTTCTTGTTAAAAAAATTTATTTAGCAGAATTAATTAAATAAAATAAAATTTCTAACTGTTTAACTATATAATAATAAAATTATCTAAATTATTAATTAAAATAAAATTTTAACATTATTAAAAACTGTTAATTAACTTGATAATTTATTAAGAAAATGATATATTTATTATGAAATTTAAAATTCTTAATGTAATTTCTAAAATTACAAAAAATAATTTATAATTTAAGTAAATCTTAAAAGATGTGTTTATAATTTACCTAAAATTTTATTTATGGTTAAGGCTTCTCTCCCGTCCGTGTACTGGTTGGGCTTTGCAGACTCACTATGGCGTTCCCATCAAATAATTCGAGATATCCATGTAAATATTAATTGGATATTACTTTGCTTGATTTGGGCGTTCAGAAAACACTTTTTAAAAAATATTATTTTCTTATTTTTGTATTTTTTTATTTTTTTTGAATTTTTTACTTATTTTAAATCATTTTTAAAAATTTTAGATACACATAACATAAATAAATAAATTTAAAAAGTATAATATTTGTGAATTTTTTAAAAAAAATATTCACTAAATATCAAAAATATAAAAAAAAATACAAAAAATCAGTACATATTTCATATTTGTGTATATTTATTAATTTTTTAAAATATTTTTTTCACAAATAGTTTATTATTTAGATACATTTAAGTAAGGTGTATCTAAAAAAGTAAAAAAATTGTTTAAAATTTTAACAATATTTACTAAAAATAAAAAAATACGAAAAATAAAAAACGCAATTTCCAAAAAAGTGAATTTAGAAAATTGAAACCAAACACACTGATAGTAAAGGTAATTTATATGTAAATTGGGCCGAGCTGGGCAATGGGCTGTTCTTTGGGCCGTAATGAAGAGGCTAGGGAGATGGGCCACGGTCAAGTGTTATCTCGGTCCAAAGTAAGGCTCTTGCCGCCAGACTAAGTAAAAAGGCTTGGTAATTAGTCTGGTCCTAAAAAGAGCAACGGTTAGTTCGGTCACCACGATTAGAAGAAGTTAGTTTAGTCACGCCATTCGGAGCTGAGATACAGCGACTTCGCACGGTAAGCCTAGCTTTGGTCAGCCCGGTCCAAGCTTGCTACGGTTAGCTCGGTCTCAATAGGTAAAACCAGGGTACAAGCTGTGAAGAGAGAGCCGAGCTAACTAGAGTTCGGTCGTTTTGGCCCGTTTAGCATGGCTTTGTTATTCCGGTCGTTTTGCCATACTACCTGTTTGAAACCATCTTACTTGGTTTAAGCAGTGAGGGGGGTGTTGAAGGATAAGCATTATCTTTCAGGAGTATGAATCCTAAGAGAACTCTACATGGAAGAGTAAAAGTCCTACTAGGATTATGCCACACGAAACCTACAAAAGCTCACAAACATCACCTATGGAGAGGTAACACACAACTTTGACTCCCGAATTCACATAGCTTTTTCTCTATTTGTCTATTTTGCTGACTTAGGCATCGGAGAGGTATCTGGCACACACCCGCCGGCTAGCTCACGTTTGTGTTTTCAGAGAGTAAAGCGACGACGTACGGAGGAGCGCAGACTTGATCAACAGGATTATACGGGAAGAATATTTCGTGCCCGTACAATTGGCGCCGTCTGTGGGAACATCAGACTAGAACAAACCTCTTGATCAAGCTTTTCCTCTTTAGAAGCAATGGCGCACAACGAAGATTTGCCGCAGTCCGCCATCGACGGACAAATACCAGAGGGGGGTGCAAGGCTCGAAGGCCTACCTTCTATCTCTCCCATGGCGGACTTGGAGCCTCAGCGACAAAATCCCAGGAGAGATGCAAGGGGGAGGAGGCGGACTAATAGCCCCCGTCACTCTCGTTTACAAAGTCCTAACAGACAAAGGCGGAAGATTGATCCTCAAGTTTTGGAGGACCGCGTGAAGGAGCAAGATGAATTAATAAGGAAGATGGCGGCGGACATGGAGGCCATGAAGCGCCAGATCAAGGGAAAAGGGGTGGCGACAGGAGAGGGGCGCAAAGGCAATGCGCCTCCTCGCCACTCAGAAGATCATAATAGGCATACCGCGACATCGCAAGCAGAAAGTAGAAGCCTCAGGACGAGGACACTCAAGCAAGGACTTCCAGAACTCGTTACTCCAGGTCCGAGAGAACGAGATCATTAAGGTTTTACACAGAGGGAAGTACCTATCGGCCCTCACACACGCACCATACATCATCCAGGCAAACGGAGTTGCCTAGATCATCCGACTTACGGACTGTGCTTGAAGAAAGGGCGCGACAGAAGGAGGATGCTAGGGCACGCGACCCGTACAGAATTTCAGCCCTTCGGCGGTTGGCTCCTCGGACGCATGGAAGCGTCGAGGTTGGAATGCCAGTACCACACCTTGCCTACGAACCAACAGATAAAGCGTTGGCAAGACTACATAGCTCGCCGTTCGTTCCGGCGATTGAGAACACATCATTACCCTTATGTTTCATCCAGCCTAAATTTACCATGTACGAAGGGAAGACAGACCCTTACATGCACCTAAGCCACTTCCGCCAGGTTATGGCAGTATATCGACGAAACGAGGCTTCTTCCCATCAAGCCTTGGTGACCTAGGCTTGACTTGGTTCGAAAAACTTCCAGAAGGCAGCATGGCCTCCTGGGCGCAATTGGCGAAGGCGTTCGTAACAAGGTTTAGAACGAACACCAAAACCCCGGTGGAAATTGATCAACTGCTCTCCATCGATATGGGCGAAAAAGAGTCATTAAAATCCTACAACAGCCGCTACTGGGAGACCTTCAACCAGATTGGGGACTGCCCCACCAATCTCACCATCGCATAGCACAAAAGAGGCATTCCAGTCGGGAACAGACTAAGGGACTCAATCACTATGACACCGCCTCTCACGATGAAGGTCTTAATGGAGAGAGTACACCTGCACATTCGGGTTGAAGAATATGGCGCCCGTGCTAAAGCAAAGTCTAGCATGATGGCAGTACTAGATAAAAAGACCGCGGCAAAGGTCAACACGGTAGAACGTCTGAACAAAAACAGACGAGGCAGGCGGGACAACGGAGAAGACCAGGATAAAAGATGGCTAAGAGTCCGCACTGCCATTACCACGGTATTCAAAAAGCCAATCTACCGGATTCTAAGCGAGATACGTGATGAACCTTTCATCAGATGGCCTGCCAAGCTAGGAGAGGCTCAGAAGGACTACGACGAAAGATCACGTTGCACCTTCCATAAAGAAAAGGGGCACCGCACTGAAAATTGTGCACCATTAAGAGAACATCTAAAGGAGTTGGTGGCGGCCGGTCATCTAGACAAATACATTGAAGGAGGGGCGCAGCCAATCCCCCAAAATGACAACCACCCGAACGGAATGCCAATCGACGCCCCACCTCAAGGTGTGATAAACGTAATACATGGGATATGCGAACCTAAGCGCGTATGTGAGCTCAGGGGCATGATCAAAAAGGCTGAGCACTTAAGGGAGGTTCTAAGTGCACAACCCACAATCAAGAAAGGAAGAACAGAGGCCACGAACGTCATGTCTTTTTCAGACAAGGACTTGGAAAGAATATATTGCCCTCACAACGATGCACTGGTCGTCACCCTCCGCGTCAAGGATTACGACATCAAGCGAATTCTGATAGACCAAGGTAGCTCGTGTGAGATAATGTACTACGACACCTTCAAACAACCGAAATTGGAGGACAAAGCACCGGATGTATCCCCCTTGATCGGATTCAACTCAATGCCAAAAGGGCCAGTCGGCAAAATTATCCTGCCAGTCAGGGCAGAAAATGTGACAAAACAAGTGGAATTTTGGGTGTTGAAGGTCCCATCTACTTACAACATAATCTTGGGAAGAACATGGCTCCATGCCATGAAATCAGTAGCATCATCCTACCATCAAGTAATGCGGTTCCCCAACGGAGCCGGAGTAATTAAAGAGGTCTTTGGAGACCAGATTATGTCCAAGCAATGCTTTGTCACGGCTAATAGCAGCCGCACCGCCAAGGGATACGTTCATTCGGTGGAAGAACTTGAGAGCAATGAACTGTTCGCAGATGTCGGCAAAGCAGCTGATCAAAAACCGGTGGAAGACTTAGTAGAGATAAGAATAGATGAAAAGAACCCGGATAAGTTCTTTTTGCTCGGATCGTCGTTGTCCAGCACTGAGAGATTAGAGGTCTTGGAATTCTTGACCTCTAACATCGAAGTGTTCGCCTGGACACCCTACGACATGCCAGGCATTGATCCAAACTTCATCTGTCACCAACTCAATGTCCACCCATCCGCCAGACCAATCATTCAGCGTACTCGCAGATCGGCACTCCACCACGCCGACATAGTGACGGAAGAAGTGGGAAACCTGCTAGAGGCAGGAGCTATCAGAGAGGTGCACTACCCCAGATGGATTTCCAACACAGTCTTGGTGCCAAAAAAGAATGGCAAATGGCGTGTCTGCGTCGACTATAAGACAGTCAACAAAGCATGCCCAAAGGACAGCTTCCCCTTACCACGGATAGATCAATTGGTAGACCTAACGGTAGGGCACAACCGACTTAGCTTTCTGGATGCGTATAGAGGCTACCATCAGATTGCCATGTACGAACCAGACTAGGAGGTCACG